TCAAAAAAGTTTAAATCTATCAGGTAATTAAGATCAAGTGCTATTTATAATTTATAATATTAAATATATTTCATAAAAATAATATAAAAAAAAACTATAGAAAGATTGTCAATATCACCAACTTGGTAAATATAATTCTATTTTTTCAAATTAAAAAGATAATTAGCCAATTGAGAGAGGGGTGGTTTAGCTCCAATTAACTTGATTAATGCGGAAACCAAAGAAGTGAGCATCACAGGGAAAGACAGAGAGGAAGACGGGACGACAATGGGTTCAGAGGCAGGAGCATCTAAACCAGTGATCAAAGTCGCCGCTATTTGTGGGTCTCTCCGTAAAGGGTCCTTCAATAGAGGCCTTATTCGGTCCGGTATTTCCCTAATGCTATCTATCCTCACCTCACTTTCCCACTTCGATTCTCGATTCCAGCAGCCAAAAATGCATGATTTATGCCTGATTTTGGAGGAGACTGGAAGGCAAGTGTTTCTTAATCGGAGCAAATTTGATTGTTGGTTTTGTGGAATTTTGCAGCGATTCAGATAAGCAAGGAGTCTATCAATGGGATGCAGATAGAGTATGTAGACATATCGCCGCTGCCAATGCTCAACACGGATCTTGAAGTGGACGGCAAGTATCCAGCCGCCGTGGAAGCTTTCCGTCAGAAAATTCTGGAAGCTGATGCTTTCCTTTTTGCTTCCCCCGAATATAATTACTCTGTTACTGGTATGTGTTTATAATAGCATTTCTTGGTCACTTTTGGTTTTGGATTGTCACAGATAGACTTGGGTTTTTTTTTTTTTTTTTATTTCAGAACCAAGTAACCTTTTTTCCCTTTTTATTGAGGTACTTATGGATTTTAAGTCTGAATTAGTATCAGGGATTTTGCATGATTTTGTATTCTCCGTACCATACCAGGACCTTTGAAGAATGCGATTGACTGGGCTTCTAGATCACCAAATGTTTGGGCTGATAAAGCTGCTGCCATTGTAAGTGCTGCTGGAAGTTTGGGTGGCGCCCGAGCACAGTATCATCTTCGACAAATTGGGGTGTATCTTGATCTCCATTTCATCAATAAGCCCGAGTTTTTCTTGAATGCCTTCGAGTCCCCTGCAAAATTTGACACTGATGGCAACTTGATTGATTCAGCATCCAGGGACAGATTAAAGGCTCTTCTTTTAGCCTTGCAAGCATTTACTTTGCGACTTCAAGGTAAGATCTGAAACATTTGATTTTTAACGTGAATGTATGACTATGTATAGGGGACAATTTGCCATAGGAAAAATGTAAGCCTTTCATTTTTCTTGTCTTGTCTATTATGGATGGAAGAATTCAGCTTTGTATTGTGTTTAATATTTATGGATATAATTACTGATATCACATAAGTCTTCTCTATTTGTTCTATATGTGAGGCTGGTTAGCACTCTCAGTCTTCTTGCCTTGTCTTGGTGCAGATGTTGAACTGGCTTGTTCTTTCTGCTTCTAATATTCATAATTTTAAGACATGATAATACAAATATACTAGTGAAGTGGGATTGACTTGGCATCTCTTAACCTGATTTGAATAAGAAAATCATGTCAGTTGCTGAAACCAGGTTTATTTTATGGGTGTGCGGTGTCTGCTGCTACAAACCCTTGAGTTCTATTTACTTCTTGTAGTAGTCCTATCTGTTTATGAATTCTAAGGGTGGTGCAAATATTTTATGAGGTTGAAGAAACTGCAAAATTGAGATATTGCCATTACAGGAAATTTAGGGAAACAACCAGGAAGAAGACAGCCAAATTTCTCGTATACTCAAAACTTGTATTGCTTTTAGGCATAGACGTTAACCAATGATGCAAATATGCATTTTATCAAGGTCGGTCATGAATACACCAGGGTAACTGGAGGTTATCAATCTAATTTGGCCTTTCGATTCCCTGATTTTAGGTTGCAGCTTGCATCTTCCAACAATGTCAGAGTCCTTAATTCAAAGCTGTGGAGGAACTGAGGAAGAAGGGCCTGTTGTTAAAGCACACACCAAAGAGAACGCTGGAGAAGGATTCCATGCCTGGGCCAATTTCAGACTAGGAACAACCTCTGAATCTGCTGATTGGTATAATTTCAAAAGATTCAACCAGGGAAGGAGGGCTGTGAAGCAGCTTGAAGACAGATATTGGAAGTTAAGGGAAAGGGAAAGGGTGTACAAATTATCATTGGTTGGAACCTGGGTGCTTGTCATTGTGTTAATGTTGTTCTTTTGGGTGATGAATGATGGGAATGTTTGTTGTAGGAGAAATTTCTATTACCACAGCTCAATCTAGCGGGGTTGTAGTTGAACTGTCCTGGGCTGTTGTAGTTGAACTGTTTTGGTGTTTGTCTTTGTGGGCTGCAGTGTTTAGTACTTATATATGGTAAAATAAAGCTGTGTTAAGGTACTTAAGTACTGATATCTGGTCAGTAAAAGATGGTTCAATTTTTCAAAATCCCTTTCAAATTTCAATCCATGTCAATCCATGTCAAGATTTCAATTGGAGACTTTCAATTTCAACTTGGAGTCCCAATTCTCATAGGTTCAGACGTCTCCTGGGGCTTAGTCTAAAATGTCAGTTTTTAATTAGGTCTGTCTCAACTCACAGTGTAGAATTATAAATGAAGTAAGGTAGCACAAAAGGGGAAGGACTAAAGGAGAATGAGCTGGAAATTTGGAAGAAGGGAAAGGAGAAGAGAAGCACCTGTAAAATGTGGGAAAAGAACAAAAAGAATGGCATTAAATTCCTAGGATGAAATAGGTTGGTGAAATTGAAAACTTAAATACTTTCTTTATTTTAATTTAGTTCTTCTACTTTGACAATATACATATATTTTTAGAATAGAATGATAATTAAAAAAAAAAATTCCTTTACATAGATTTTGTTAAGTAGCCTCGTTTAAAAAAGAAAAAAAGAAAAAACAATTCATATGAAATATATAGTGTTCACGTTTGGTTTAATTCAAAATTATATAATTCAATTCTAAAATCACAAATCATGGAATTGAGTTAAGCTAAACAAAAATTTGTCAAATTTGATGGGATTTGCAAATGAAGTGCATATCAAATTCATTCTAGTAAATGAAATGAATTATAATTTTATTTTAACCAAATATATTCAAAAAATTTTAAGCCTAAGAATTCATTTTCAAATTAAAATGTTGAATTTATATACCAAAACACCCCCCTTAAACACTTTAATTTAATTTAATTTAATTAACTTGGCATAAATTTGGATGGCGAAGTATGCCCACTTGTGAGTTGCTCAAAAAATCCAGAACCGGATCAATGCCATTGATGATTCTGTTTCTGAGATGGTCAGTTTTTTATGATTACCAAATCACTTGAAAATATGCTTTGGATACACAATCATGCCCACCTTGCAAAAAAACATCACTATCTTTGGAGAGCATATATCTACAATCCAACAGTTTGATTGCAATCCATGTTAAAATCACGAAAGAAGAAATGAGAATAAAAATGTGGTCGGTAAAGCAAACCGGTTTTAAGGCTGGCTTATTGCCGCATGGACTGTTATTAAGGCTATATATATGATAAAGAAAATAAATAAGGTACGTGTGTATTTGGTTTCACTAATTTTATTAGTTTATAATTATTTAATTATAATATTTAAAAATATTAATTTAAAAATATTTTAAATAACAAATATTAATTGTTAAGAAAAGTGTTTCACATGTTGCCTTTCTAAATTTATTTTTGAAGAATCTATTTAAAAATTAATATTTTAATTAATATTTTCAGAAATTAACCATCAACTTAAAAGTTTTATTTATGAACGATAATTCACGCACACCCAATTTTGTCACCTCGGGTCACATGCTCTTTAAAAAATTAATATTTCACAACTCAAACTTGTTAATGTAAAATAACTTAAACTTGTGCCCATTTATACTGCATTGGTTTATTTGTGTTTCCAAACATAATGATTTTATAGCAGCTTGACAAAAAGACATCCTTGTTTCTCT